CACCATGCATCGCTCCAAAAAATGGAGCAAAGGGAGAATAAAAAAAGAACATCCACCTACATAACTGTAATGCAGTTATCACATGCAAGAAATTAAATTTTTATACAATAATGTTATCTAAGTTGAAGCCCATATTCAAATTTCTTAAATATCCCTGTAATCATATCCTTCATTGTTAACTATTTTTTCAACCCAGGAGCCAGTGAAGATCAAGCATTGCATTTGAATGTCACATCTCTTTAGCCTCCTTTAAACTATAGAGTCCTCATTTTTTGTCAGTTTGTTTCTTGACTGGTTCCTGACATAGACCCTTTGAAATAGATCATACTAGATATCCAGTAAGATGTGTTAAAGGTTTGAATGTATCTATTATTTCTTCATGCTTAGATTCAGGTCATGCAGGACACTATGGCAGGTATGTTGCACATATGCACTGAATTACAGTAAGCTAAGGGTAGGGTTAATTTGTCTCATTATACACAAGTTTGGTAGCTTTACTTCAGGTGGAATCTGCCAGATTTCTCTCTTATGGTACCTTTCTGCCAAGATGATTCTCATACATATCAAAGTTTTGTTTTGCTACTCCAAATACAGTCTGTTGACCAGCAAACAGTGGTTTTCCCAGGGAACTTGTCAGCAATGCAACTAGAATTCCTGACCTGAGAGAGGGCATTTCAGTCCTTCTCTGCTACCTTCTATTTTGTACAACCACAACAAGGTGAAGGGAGTACCGTGAGTGGCTGAGGACTCCTGTGTAAGCCCAGCTCTGCCACTTTAGGAGCTCCTGAGAAAATAACCTCACTTCCTAGAACCTCAGATTCACTTGTAAAGGAAGCTTTGCTTAAGCTCACAGCCAGCACCAGTGGCCACTTGCTGAGTCCATTTCCAAGACAGTGAAACCCCATGCACATGTGGTCACAGTCCCAGCATGAGGCCTCACTATCTGATACCCTGATGCTACCGATGTCAACCCCTCCCCTCACTTGGCTCATTCATTCATTCTTCGTGAGTGGCTTTACTATGTCATGAAGAAGAGAGCCGGGGGAAGCGAAAGTTCTGGAAAATTAAGAGAAAAATAAAAGGAGTTTATGACAAATGGGAGAGGGCATGAATTGCAGGAGGGATGCAAGAAAGTGGCAGGTTAAATATGATCAAGAAGAGAAGCAAAAGAGAGAAGACATTTACTGTGCGCCCATGACGACATGTCTAGGCATTTTCACTCCCATAGGTACCCTGCCTAAAACCCCCATGTTAAACTAAAAAGCCAGGCTCTTTAGTTACCATAGCTGCTGGGTCAATGTACCTCATCACCCAGAGTTGCCAGATGTCCCAGAGCCAGCGTACCTCAGAAAGCAGTCAGTGGGCATTTCTTGCAATCATTTACCCTTGGTTTGTCAACCCATATGGCTGCCGGAGGGATGGCTAGGGCAGCAAAATGTACTGTGCCAAACCAGCAACAATGCCAAGAGGAGGCCAGTATCTCCCCACTAACAAGCTAGGAAGGGAGAGTCCCAGACAGCCTCAGGACAGTCACAGAGCCAGTGTAAGCGATTTTTAAGGAGACCCCAATTCAGAATCAACTAATGCTTACTGGGTGTCTGATGCTTGCCTCATTGCACTCACATGCAAGGTTTGCTTTAAGCCTAGAGACCACTCCTTGACAGGGCAGTACTGTCACTGCCAACTTCTAGGTCCCAACTCAGCTCCTGCAAATCACAGAGACTTTGGTAAAGTCTAGATGTGAACTCCACGCCCAGCACGTTTTCCATGACATCAGCACCTCTTTCAGCCAAAGGATGAAAAAGCAGAGCTGTAATCTGCCTCACCAGAGTTCATCATTCTGGTGGCTCCTATGTGATTCCTTTCCCCACAGCCCACCACAACACTCCCAAGGACTGTTCTCCTCATTAAAGTCTTGTAATGCTCACTTTAGCTACTTACTATTGTTGTGATAACAGCGGAGCTGTAGCAGCAAAGTCTTGATTAATCAGGATCTTAAGAGAATTCTTTCATGTGTTCATGCAGCAAATGCTTACTTAGTACCTACCGTGGGCTCCACAGCCTGATGGTGACTGAGAAAGCTAAGAACACCACAGGCCCTGCTCTCAAAAAGCTCAGCTCAATGGGGCAGACAAGTGAACACAACAGTCCAATTGCAAATTTCTACGGCCAGGCAGTTGCAAAGCTGGGGCGCGTCTAGCCTAGCCTGGAGTGTCAGGGAGAGGCTTCCTGGAGGTGGTGACAGCAGAACTGGGCAAAAGTGACAGTGTATAGACAGGAGAAAGTAAGTGATTTGCCTTAGAGAGAGACAAAAGGAGCAGAGAAACATTTTGACTGATCTCCACATTTCCTGTATTCTATCTTTAGGAAAGAGAAAAAATCTTATCTCATGGGCCTGATTCATTTAAGAAAGAAAAAGTATGCACTAGATTGTGAGCCCATGGTCAGCCCATGGGCTGGCCCCCTCCAGCCATTAGCCACACCCCTGAGCAGGACAATGGATGCTTTTGAAGTATGAATTTCAATGCCTTGGAAAATCCTGAATCATCAATGAAAGTTTCAGTTATGTCCATCTGATTTGACCTTCTCCTGAGCTGGAGAAAGGATCCAGGATCCAGCTGCTCACCAAGTGGCTTCAGCATTAGGATCTCAGACCCAAACCGATTTGAGTTTTCCTGCCTAACTCCCAGTGTAGCAGGATCCACAATCCTAGGACCCACCCAGCTCACATTTTCCTAACACTGTGGCTCCTTAGGTTCTGACAGGCCCTGGCTTTGATTCAAAGGCCCCTTTTCCCTGCCATGCACGAAGAAGGGAGGGCAGAAGTGTTACAAGGGACCCTGTGCTACTAATGGGGAAAAGGAGCACCCAACAACGCCTAGAAAAACAGTCAAAGCCCCCAGTTGTTGGCAGAGGGTCAGGATCGGGATCTGGGCTCAGCAACAGAGCTGACTCACTGTATTCCAGTGTGAGCTCTGGGAACATTACATACATGATTGTAGGCCAGCGACTATCTCTTATCTATAAAATGGAGAAGATAACTACCTCATAAGAACCTGTGAGAGTTAACCAAAATAAGTTTATGTGCCAGGGTAGTTATCTGACTCTTTCTCCTCACAGTCTCAAAGTCTTGTACGTCTGCTCTGGGAGGCTACAGGCCTTAGTGTTCTGAAACCTGCTTCCAGGCGATGGAATAATTCTAGCAGAAAATAACACTGAGGCTCTGTCAACAGAGGTCTTACTGGTCCCTTTCTCAGAATGGGAAAAGTGTTGCTTTAAATGCTGACTAGGAGAGGTAGCAGAAGAGGAAGTCCTCAAGCTCCAGGTGGACCTCAGCTTTGGGGGCCAACCAATAAGTATAAACACTGCTTACACGCAAAAGGACCTGAGAATCTGCACATGTTTGTTGGGCTTTCATTGCCCATCACATATTCCAGTGTTCACGTCAGCTTAACACTGCTAGAGACAGAGTGGAATGTACTTTTAAACTCGTTTTTACCACTTCACCAAAGCAAAAGAAAGCCCAACTGCTAAGCCCTCTCTCCAGCCGGACACTTCCATCACCCACAACCAGACGTCTACCAAAGGCCTGACCAGCCCAAATCCACATTCCTCGTTCTCCTCCCTCAGTTGCCTCGGAGGCAGCTTCTCCACCCTTGGTAACCTCTCTCAAAAAAACCTGTTGCTGAGTCTGAGGGCCTGTGTGGACGCCCCCACCTGGTGGCCAACTCAGGAAAAGCGCTTCCAACCCAGGAAGCCTGGCAGTTTAGTGTAACTAAGTCTAAGGTTCCCTGAATCCTTAGACCTTCTCAATCATGGGTTGACAAGAGGAAGTCAGAGAGGAGAATCCACTGTTTGGTCAACAAGAGGAGATAGTGTCAAAGTCAGGGCCCATTTTCTGCCAGAATCCTGATAGCCAAAGAGCTTTTGAAAAAGCAACTGTTAGGATGGCTGAGGCAAAGCTGGGAGGCGGTTGGCAGCTGGATGCACCCTGTCAGCCCAGGAGTGTGTACTGGCAGCCAGAATTTCCAGTCCTTGCTAGAAACCCGGGCTACCATTCTCTCTCCCTCCTCTAATACAGGTGGATTTTCCATTTCTGAGGTCTGGCGTAGCGGGAAGTGCATCTTCCTGCTGGCTGCGTGTTTACCTGGAGACTAACAGGGAGCTTGTTTGTAGGAAACAGTGGCTTGGGGCGAACCTCCAGACCAGGCTTCCCACATCCTCAGCGCCTGGGCCAGCCAAAGCCAGAAGGGGCAGCAGACTAGGCTGAGGGGATACCGGGACCCCAATCACAGAGACGTTTCCACCAAAATAACCCCCACGGCCTCCCTCTGTTAAGCCTCAACCCTTCAGTCTAGACTTAGAAATTCTCCTCCCTCCTATGCCTAAAAGAAACCCAGAGATGTGCATTTTGGCCAGTTCAAGCCCCCAGTTCATGTAATACCAGGTTCTTTTCTCTGCAAGCACAGAGCCCTAGAAAAGGAATGCTTACACTCACACACATACACACACACACACCCCTCACTGTAGGCAGTGCACGCAGTATTCCCATCCGCAATTCCAGCATGTATCCTCTAAATTCAGCGACAACCCTAAGAAAAGGTATTCACCCTAAGCAGAAAGAACACTCAGGTAAGGACCGTTTTGTCCTGTCCAACCTCCGTATTAAGTAAGAAAAATCTCATAATTCTTTAAAGCTTTCAAACCAACATCCCAGAAGGGGCAATAAATGCGCACCGACGCACACAGATGCAAATCTCGAAATCATCTGGGAAACCACACTTGGTTCTTTTAAGCCCTGGTGTCCAACACCTGGTGTGCGGCTCACAGACACGCAGAAGCGGAAAAGACGCCCGGAGGGCAGGTTGGCCCCCACTGGGCGAGAGGGCAGCTCTGGGTGTTTCAAAGCTCTATAGAATTTCTGGGTTCCAGCCCCCACCCGAACCCCAATAACGCCGCCTCCGAGGGGCGCCCGCGCGGGCGAGCGGCCCGGTACTCACACCAGCGCGTGGTACAGCAGCGCCCAGCCCCGCGGTCTCTCCAGGGCGTCGTAGATCAAAGTTTGGACGCGCCGGTACTTGGCGTTGTTCCTCTTGACCGGGCGGCTCAGAGGGGTCTTGGCCAGGAGTCCGATGCCCTGCGGGGTCCTCCGCAGCCCCTCATCGCGGCCACCACCCTCCAGCAGCAGAGTCCCGTCTTTGTCAGCTCCGGCCCCGAGCGCCAAGGTGACTTGCTCCACGTCCCCAGGCGGCAGCCCCACTTTACGCTCCTCGTCGCCGGCCGCCGCCGCATCCCCTCCGGCTGGGTTAGCAGCCCCGCCGCCTCCGCCGCCCCCGTCGCCGCCGCCGCCAGCCGCCCCCGCCGCCCTGCGCGCCTTGAGCCCCATCTGCCTCGCCCCCGGCGTCCGCTTCGCCTTCTCCGCTGCTGCTCCGGGAAGCAGGGGCGCTCGGGGTGCGTGGACCAGAGGGAGGCAGCGGCTGCAAGCCCGTGAACTCCAATGCCATGATCCGCGCGCCCCTCCCTACCCACCCCCCCAAAAGCAGGCGTGCCTCCTGGGGGTCAGGGGAGGCGGGGGGGGGGCAGAGGTCACATCCCGCGCAGGTCGGCCGGGGGACCCCGAGGGGCGCGGGCCGGGGGCTGCAGAGAGCGGGCGAGGGCGCTTGAGCCTGGCGCGGAGGCGCTAGGGCGCG